GTTTTTCTTTCACTTTTTGTTACTGGAATTGATGAGAAAGTTTGCATTTGGTAATGTATTTGTAACACACTCCATATCATTTTGCATAATGCTAAGGATAATTTATTTTTTCTAAGGATGATAATACATCTGACCAAGCAAATTTGATATCAGTGTGTTGTTAAGGCCGCCTATAAGGAGGTGAGCTCGAGCTTAGGGTGCTCGAGTCGAGCTTGGCTTAACTAAACGTGCCAACAATTGAGCTCGAACTCAGCTCATTTTATCACTATAGGCTAGCTGAATTCAAGCCTTAACGAGCTGAACTGTAGAATATTATATACAAAATTTATTTTCGAACTTTAGTAAGCTTTATCGAGCCGAGCTGAGCTCGTTAACCAAACGAACTTTAAATGAGCTCGAGTTCAGTCTCGAGCCAACCTCGAACCTTAACGAACTGAGCTCGAGCCGAACCAAACTAAACTCAGTTTACTTTAATAGCACTTCCCACCATGAAAAACCCTATAATTTGCATATTCGAACATCTTTCGTAGTTGTGTTTTAGCTAGCCCAGATATTTAAGCTGGTTTAGGCCCATAATATATTTCAATAGGCCCAATTTAAACTAGCAGGCCTATTAAGTGATAAACATTGAGCCCATTACCCATTCATTCACATAAGCACCTACTGAGGTTTCGTCTTGTGTTGATTCAGAGAAGCCACCAATGGCGTGTAGTTCAGGGACCTGCCAATCGGGTTGCTATCGGAACGAATATTCCGGCGGAGAAGACGATCAGAAGCAACATAAGGCGTCGGAAAATGGGGTCGAGCCCAATTTTGCTTCCCCTCGGGGCGGCGATTTGAGTGTTCGCAGCATCTGCGTTAAATGCAAGGTTACCGAAGCCATGGTCTCTACGCACCCCGCGGTTGCTGGAGGCGGCGGCGGAGACGGAGGAAGATACTGCGCCGATTGCTTCCGGAGTAATTTGTTCGGGAAGTTCCGGTTCGCCGTCACTTCGAATGCAATGATTTTGCCGTCCGATAATGTTCTCGTTGCATTTTCCGGCGGTTCTTCATCTAGGTATGGCTGATAGTATGTCTTTTGTGGAATTAGTGGTAATCTGTACTCCATCAAATATATATATTTTTTTTCTTTTTTTCGACGAAGCTGCTTTTGGAGGTAACAGTTCAGCTCTAAGCTCAGTGAGCTTGCTTATCTTGTTGTATTTAAGCTGGTTTATTATTTTGCTTCAACTCAAGCTTCTTCCTTGTTTTGCTTGTGAGAAATGGGTGCGTAAATTGCATGGGAATATTTGATACCTGTGATTTGTGTGAAGCTTGGTTTGGCTCATTTATCTTCCTCATATTGGCTCAGCTTGTCTCTTTTTGTGTTTGAATGAGAAATGAGATTGAAGCTTCTTAAGCTTTGGACACGAATTGAGCTATGTTCGATTCGGTAGCTCATTTACCTTTCCAGAGAGATGAAAAGATTTCGTTCAGTTGAATAAAAACCGGATCTTTACATTATGACTGTTTCAGGCCTCGTAGGTTGATGTTTCGACTCTTTCGAGTTATTGTGTATGTGGTTCAAGTGCATTAGCTTAGTTTTGTTTAGTGGTACAGAATAGCATCCTCGTTTTCATGCTGTTTTTCTTGCTACCAGTAATTTTGTTGTACTTTTTCATTGAAGAGGCAATCATCTCAAATACTTGAGTAAAAAAGGAATTAGAATTATATTGATCTATTCTGATTTGAGTTTATGCCGGTTAGTAGAAACAAAACAAGCATAATAATTTGCACCCGAGGTTTTCTTAATTACGTTGTCTTCAACTCTTTATCGTTATTTCAAGATTTTTTTTTTTTCATTTATTCAGGGTGGCTCTTCAATTCGTTCATGAGATGCAACAAAAAGCCCAAAAGAATTACGATGCAAGTAGGGAAAAAACATTGCCCGTATTTCAAGTCGGGGTCGTGTATATTGATGAAACTGCCATTTATCCAATACCTTCTACTGATTACGATAGATCCCTTGATAAGATGAGACTGATTGTTTCAAGTTTAGCTCCTCCAGCAAAACATTTTTTGGTCATCCCAATTGAAAGTATTTGTACACCTGATTTTAGTGCTGGGACTGGGAGAGATCGATTGACCAGTTTAATTGCTGCAGTAGATGATGTTACTGGAAAAGAAGATCTAGTAGAACATCTCCGCATGCAGTGTTTGCAAAAGGTTTCGCAATACACACACACACACACACACACACACACACATATATATATACTTGCTTAATTAAATTTCCAATGTGGGACGAGTGAAGTAACCGTAGAGTGTGATGTATATAAATTGCAGGCTGCTTTTGAAAATGGATACACCAAAATCATTATGGGAACGTGCACATCCCGGATAGCATGTCGTGTACTTGAAGCAACAGTCAAGGTAGGTCACTACACGTGCAAAATGAAACAATAAATAAACATATAATCATATTTTCTTTGTTAGGTCAGCATCAAAATTTAAAGATGTTTATACATTATTTTCCAGGGCCAGGGTTTCTCATTAGCTGCAGATATACAGTATGTCGATGCTAGGTGGAAAGTACCAGTGATGCTTCCTCTTCGTGACTGTCTATCTGAAGAGCTGAATATGTTATGCACTCTAGACAGGTTCTTTCATGACACGGCATGAGATATTTTCCTTGATAGTGGATGATATAATTTGATTTTGTACAATTTTAAGTGTACATAATAATTTCTTTCGGTAGTGAAATCATTGCTTTATGACGGGCGTTTTCTTTTCTGTAAGGGCAGTTTGAAGATTATAGATGCATTCAAGCAACCTCATTCTGGCATCAACGGCTTAATATCCTCATTTGTTAAATTATTGAAGGTATAACAAAAGCATCTACACAAAAATATGAGGCTTGGCTCATGTGTAGAGTAAACTTTCGAAAGAATTTTTTTTTTTTTTTTAAACCTGTTTGTAGTGGGCCATCTTGCAAAGTATCACATCTGTCAATAAATAGTTGATTCCCAACGAGAGTTACATAGATCCTTTTCCATCAGTATGATTTATCTTGATAAACCCATTCTTATGCTCGAATGGCATCTTATCATTACATGTTCTGTTCTATCTATGCAGTGATTTCCTTGATTTCATTTCTAACTTAATTCATTATAAATACGTGCTGTCTCAAATAAATTTTTATGCCCTCGAATTCTTCTACAGGAGGAAAATCCATCTCGAGAAAGCACAATTGTACGAACTGCAGGGAAGCTCACGCCCTTTTGTTTTAACAGAACACCCGAAACTAACGATCAGAATACTCAATCGGCATCTAAGAGGAGGCAGAAGAAATACAACTTGAAGCCTTACAGCGAATCATTGATCCGAGAATCGTTTTGTGTTGTTTGCAAAAGCCCACTAAAGGAAGCCAAGAGCTCGAGTCTTAACAGCTTTGGCAATCAGGAAAAAAGTGCGAAAATCCACTCGGATGCTTGTTCAAGTTGCCAGTTCCAGATTCTTCCAAAGGATACTTCATCTCTCGAGTACTTCTTATCTCTGCTTCCAGAGTCAATAGCAGCAAACCTTACTAAGGATAATCGAGACAGCCACGAGTTGCTTAGGTAACACATCTTATTAACCATTTTTTTTGCACGGTTGTTCCGAAAAAAAACCCTCAGTTCTAATTTTTAAAAATGAAAAAAAAAAAAACCATCTTTCTTTGAAGACAGTTTTTCTTTTTTTCCCCTTTTTGGGTAAATTGAATCAGTATGTCCAATATTTTTCTGAATCTTCTGTTTCTTTTTGGTTTGCCAGGGACCAAATACAAGATTGTTTGTTATCGGATAGTGATGACGAGACTTAAATGAGATGTTCTTTCCTCAGTCTCCCTGGTCAATAGGGCCTTTGTCAGATTTCATTATTTCAATATGCCATACTTTAGATTAGCCTAGCTCATGATTGATCTTTTGAACCCGCTTCAAGCCATGGGTAAACACTTTCAACTCGCTCCGAAACTCAGAATGGAAAGATAAAAATGGAGCCAACTGGTAAACCAGTAAAAGATGCAAAGGATGGTTATCTGGTTCATAAATTTGTTTTCTTGCTCTGCAAATGTAAACAGTAAATTTATTTATTTATTTTTTTTTTTGGCTTTTTCTTTGTTGCTGTTGTGAAGATGAGGTCACAATTGTTAAGAATTATCAAAAAGATGCATTCATACAGTTGAATGAATATAGTGTTATGCTTATGCCAATCAAATGAATTCGAGTCAAATTTAAGCTAATTTTTCCATTTCGTCCTATCAGTTGTTTTTGTAATCGTGTTCGTGTTTCATGTCGTGCCAGATATTATCGTTCCCTAAAATGGGCTCTACTCTACGAGATATAATCAGGCTTCAAATAAGCCCAACAAATTAGGCCTTCTTAAAAAGGTCCATGTTAAACTTTTGGTAGTACAGTTATACAAGAAGGCCCATAAATCTCCTAAAGAAAAAAAGAGCAACGCTTCAAAAGACCCGTAACAGCACTCTGCAAGCTCAATGGACTCGCCGGAGGGACCCGACGCCACCACCTCCTCCGCCGGCGACCGCCCCCAAGGGCGACGGAGCACGTGCGCCACCGGATGCGGCCGCCCCACGAGCGTGTGCCTCTGCCAAACCCTTCCTCCAGCTCCGCTGCCCACGACCACCAAAATCGTCATTCTCCACCACCCGCACGAGCGCCGCCACAAGCTCGCCACCGTCCCAATCCTCCCCAAATGCCTAATCAACTGCGAAATCATCATCGGACGTAAGCTGAAGTACGGCCAGTCGAAGCTTCTCGATTCGCTCTACGACCGGGCCTGTGACAGCCCGAATTCGCCTCTCAGCCGAGCATTTTATCTCTTTCCTGGTATGATAGAGACAAGATAATGTGAAAAGACTTACTTTTTATGCAATTTAAGGAAAAAAAGGGTAAAAAAATGTGAATCTGGGTTGTTGGGTTTATCAACAATGGTTGAAGATTCGAAATTAAAAAATGTAGTTTCTTTTCTTGGAAATTTAGCATCAATGGGGTTTTAGCCTTTTAGGAGCTAATATTATGCTTGTCATAAAAAAATGTGTAAATTCAGATAAAGTTCTGATTTTGAAGCAAGAGAATGACTATGCGAATGAGGTATACATCTTGCAGGAAACTTCTGTGTTGAAAAGGCTTTACCATTCATGAGAGAATGTGCAAAAGGATTGTAATATGAAGTTATGCAGCTGGTTCTTGTTGATGATAAGCTAATGCGTGGCATTCGTATATATAACATCTTTCTTGTATTGATGATAATATTCATTTAGGTCCAAATGCTATGCCGTTCGCTGAAATAACTAATCACACAAATGCTGGCAAGGATAATCTCGTTCTAATCGTTTTTGACGGAACATGGAAGCACGCCAAGGAAATGGTACTCGCGAGTTTATCTTTTGTATCCAAGTTTGCGATTCAAGTTTGTTTAGATTTTGATGTTGGGGTTGATGGTGGGACTATCTATGACTCGGAGTTGATTCTGAGGAAAGAACCGTTTGGTGGGTGCATGAGTACAATCGAGGCTGTTGCTAGGTGTTTAGGGGTCCTTGAGCATAATGGTGTTGAAATCGAGTCGAGGATAATCGAGGTTTTAAGGGCAATGGTTAGTTTTCAGGCCGGCTTCATGAAATTAGTGAAACATCATAAAGATAAAAATGATGGCCTCGACTCAGTCTGTTAGTTATTTTGAAATCTTGATTTGCTGTTTTATTATTCTAGCTCGCCTGTTTATTCCACCTATATTTGAGATTTCTTTTGTGGTGCTTTTCTAGAAAAAATTTGATTTGAAACACACACACACAAAGCACGGAACTTGTTGTACAGTTGGATCTTCTCTATTTCTCTATCTCTCTTACTAGCTCGTACAGTCACGGAAGAGTTGACGAAGAAAGGAATAACTTCAAGAATTTCGTTAGGCAACAAGAATTCGAATAGCATGGATGATCTTAATTTGAGCCATTTGAGTTCTGAACCCCATCGATCCGTAAAAACCGATGTTCTTTAATCATAATCAAAATGTATTTTGGAATTTACTTTCTGCCTTTTGTATCCTATCTTTCTAACTTCTAAGGTTTCAACTTTTAACCCCAATGCTTGCGTCACACTTTTTTTTTTTAACGCACGATTGGCCTATCAAGTGTCATAAGCAAATCTAATTTACCGGCTATATCTTTTTGTGTGGGGTTATGTGTTGTGATTGATTTACACAATTCATGTTTCCTTACTGGAATTTGAGGGCATGTATTTGAATGTCAGGCTGTTCTTGTGGGGAGGGCCACTTATGCTTTACCCTTTTTTTTTCTTTTATTCCATGTTAAGTTGTCTTGTTTCTAATTTGGCCTCCATATACTCTTCACCGTTGTTAATTTATCTGTCTTTATCATGTCTCGGGTGATGCACGAAGGGGAAGTTCAAGGCCGAGCTGTAAGGTTATATGGAAATAGATAGTTTTGGAGAGTGTGTTTGGTTATCTTAAGGTGAAAGTAGTTGTTGAATTTGCCGGAGTTCGTGTGATTTGTGTGTGTGTGTGTGTGTGTTTTCGAAACAATAGACGATTTTATTCATCCAGAAACCGGGTTATTTACAATAATCGGTGGGCTAACTAGCTCAAAATACAGCGAATCTGAACAAAGACAACAAACTCATGGCCTAGAATAAGTAAAAATATGGCGATGGACATGCCTAACAGTTTTCGCACGAATGAAAAATGTCAAAACTAGTTATTATTAGTATTAGCAAAACAACTATCGAGCATACTTCATGGTTAGTCAGTCATACTTGGAAACAAATTTTATGTTTCGGTTTTATTTTATTTCGTTTGATGATTGACACGTGTATAATCGTGACGTTATCAATCCAATGAAATGAAACATGATTTGATGAATACATACTTATTGTAACTATTGAACTGTATATATATTTTAAAAGTTAATAACTTTTGTATTTTTTATCAGTTTTACATATGTAATATACCAAATTAATCTCCATTTGATGAGCTTCGATTTAACATCCATATTGTATGTATAAAAAAAAATAATTTATATTTATCTTTATAACAATAATAAAATTATTTTTAATATTAATTAGAAAAATTAAATTATTTATCAAGTAATATATTTATATTTCAAGTAGTTATATTGATATAAGTTATAAAAATTAATATAATATTACACATGTAAGTCATAAGTAACACATATCATTCTAAAATATATAGTAATATATTTTTTTTATGTAAAAAATTAAACTAAATTTAATATAGTTTTCTCATTAATTTCAAAATTTAAGAATAATTTTTTAACAAGCACCAGAGTAATACACGGGTGTTGTACTAGTTATTAGTATTAGCAAGACAACTATCGAGCATACTTCACGGTTAGTCAGTCATACATGGAAACAAATATTATGTTTCGATTTTATTTTATTTCGTTTGATGATTGACACGTGTATAATCGTGACGTTATCAAATCCAATGAAATGAAACATGATTTGATGAATGCATACTTTCAAACTGACATATTATACTTGAAAAACAACATAATAAATAAAATAAAAGTATGAGTATGTATTTTTGTTTAAAAAAAAGAGAAAAAAACGACGATTGGATTAATTGAGTTAAAGAATTTAGAAAATTAGGAGTTTACAAATTTTAAGAAATGAATTAATTAAATAGAAGTTTTTCAATGAAGAATGAGCCGGGTTATATAAAAAAGAAAGCCCCAAAGATTCCAAAAAAGGTTATAGATACTGAAAAAATTTCGTCTTTAGAAATTTTTATACCAACCTGTAAAATCTTTTAACTTCTGGTGTAAAAGGTTAATAGACGGAGCTAACGATTTGGATAATATATCTAAACTTGTTCATTGATGATTAAATAGAATTCCTATAGATCCAACAAAGAATATAAATAGAACTAATAAATAAAAGTAAAGCAAATCCAAAATTGGTCTAGGTGGCTGGTTTCATGATAAAGACGGTGTTTCTCAGGCAGCCTTCGCTACTTGCATCGATGGCTCATCTTCTCCTTTACTAGCGGAAGTGCTAGCACTTCGTCATGGTCTCCGCTTTGCTATGGATTTCAGGCTTTAAGGTGCAGGCGGTGTTGACAGACTCCTTGGAAGTCGTTGGCAACATTGCGAACTCGGAGGATTTAGACCCTTTCTTTGAGGTGTTTACGGATATTAAAAGTCTTTTAACGATTTTAAACTGCAGCTCATGTTGCCATGTTTTTTGGAAAGACAACGTGGTGGCCCATAATATAGCTTATTGGGCGATCTCTTCACACTCTGGAAGGACTCTCTTCCTATTTTGTTATCTTCCATCTTTAATTAGTTTGTATGCAGTTTTTTTT